AGAATATGACAAATATGAAATCTAAGCTGCTACCAGAGGGATGGATGGAAATGACTTGGATGTCTATTGGAACAAGAATAAAAATATACACAGGTCTATGAAGTCATTTGGATCAGACTCTTATAGAGAATAGGAACATATCACGTTATAACACTGATCCATACTGTAAAAAGTAAACATTTGAATTATATATCAGTCATTTGTTACATTTTGCAACTCTGTTATACATGTAATGTCATGGCAGTTTAAAAAAAAAGATGCATGTCCTAAAAGCAAGAAATGAATATGCTGTTAGCTTTTTGGAAATATGTGTGTAAAATAAGCATTTCCTATATTTTGAACCAAATTCATCAATTCTTTAATGAGTGATTCAGAAGCCTAGCAGATAGTGACTAATTTGTTGAGAATGAGAAGGAACTCATACAGTACTGAATAAATGTTTCACACTAACATTCAATAAAGCAATTACAAACAACTCACCCCAGGTTAAAGAAGAGCTATGCAAGCTGGAACAAATGTAACATTATATAATTTGAAAGTGTTTAAAAGTAACAGGTCACCAGGGCTCAAAAGGGTTTTTGTAAATGTCTGTAAAAAAAGTGAGGAAAATTAAAGAAAAACCAAGAGAGAAAAGCACAGGCAAATTTATCATACATTACAGATGAAACTATGAAAACTACAATTAGTTTTAATGTGATTCTTTTTATGGTAGCCATGTTAAGGAATAGGCAGATGTTTCTAGATTTTTGAACAAGCAATATGTTAGATTTCCAGAAAGATTTTGTTTAGAAAAAGTTCCTGCTTAAGCAGGTCAGCTGGCCAATATTGTGTCCTGGTTGTGTCACTGTTGTGAGAAGTATATGGACAGTACATAATAATAGTGCCTTTTACGATACTAACATCTCTGGGTGATTCTGATTTACTGCTGATCTCTGGTTAAGGATGCAATAGCACATGGAGGACCTGAGCAAAAGACCTTACTTAGGTTCATAGCATGCATTCCTACATGTATATAACAGTATAGAATTACATAGTAGCCCTTGTGTTCAGCATACTTCCAATCCAGTTCAAACCAGCTCTAAATGTCGACCTTATAAAATATTGCATCTTCTGCAGGAAAGGTGTATACAAAGTACACAGAGACCCTCTCAACAATGTCATTATATGTAGCAAAGCATGCATGAAGTGTATGAATATGTGAAAATACATTATAATTGATGCATTGATACAGTGGTTTAAGATGTACTGTAGCTTATAATTCTCTATCGAAGAGACCATGTCTCAGACATAGTGTGGTTTTTAACAGTATATTTTTTAGCTGTATTCTGTTTCTCCTGGAAGAGTTGATTTGCTTCATTGCCCTTCTGCAAAGGTGTCTCAGGTTTTTTTTTTACTTATGCCTTAGGTGATAGTGATGCATGATAGCTGATTTAGTTGTACCAAGCAGAAGGCTCAGTCTAACTTTTACACCTACAGTATATGATAAATATTTTTGGAATACAAAAAAACATTTAAAATAATTCTGTACCTTACTTTTAAAAAGTTTTAAAAGTATAAAGTCTAGTTGAAATGAGCAGGTCCTATTTTTAGACCTCTTTTTACCTGTACAGTGTAAGAAAAAAGCCTGTAAGCTGGACAATTTGAAACATCAAAACATATGAGACAAGGACTGACATGAAATATGGTTTTGACAACTGAGCAACATACCCAGTTGTTTTGGCTGATATAAGACAAGTGTGGTAGATAGGATGTTTATAAGATTTATAAGATGTTAATATGTTTGTGTTACACTCGTAAGTCAATAAGTTGCCATTAAGACTAGAATTCAGTCCTAGTGAGCAAATCAGACTTTTTTGATGTATTTTTAATGATTCTTTTGTCCGTCTATGTGCATTTTCTTAGGTTTCTGAATACTGCCATATTTATTAGTTCAGATCAAGATTAGTTGGTTTTTTTGCTCAGTACAGTTGTTTAATAAAAATGAGCGAATATGTGAGCACTTTATATAGTTAAGTCTTTTACACCCTCTTTTGTCTTTTTATGTTTTCATAAAGTTTACATAATGCCTATTTGTGCACAGTTTTTAGCCTTCTGTAAGCAAAGAAGGCCATACATATATATTACTGTATATATATGCAGTATATACCATATGGTAATATTGAAACCAGTTTTATACTTTTTTTTTCTTTTGGAGGTGATCTACAGTAATCTATTATAATTTTTTCTGTCCTCTAAACTGATGCAATCTATTACTGAAAATTCTAACAATTAAGATTGCAAATTTGATTCAATTTTTTTGTGGAAATTAGGAAATAATTCATTTATACTAGATTAACAACATTCTAAACCAAACAAATGTAAATTCATATAATGAAAGAGACCATACTAGTTTCCTTAAATTAATGCTTTGACACTTTTTTAAAAAGATCAACTTAAAAAATAGATTTTTAAATTTGATAGTTTATGTGCCTTACTAATAAATGTACATACAAGAAAAAATACATTTTTATTGTATTGTCTGGACAGCATAGTCTAAAATGATACATTGATATCTTACATGAGACCTGAACTAGAATATAGGTATGTTGTATTATTTTCAGAATGTATATTGCAAGGTAGTCATTCAACTGGAAAACTGAGCCATTCTGCTGGCAGCTACAGAAATGATGGATGCTTGCTTGTCATGAGAAAAAGAAAGTGAGCGAGTTCTGGTTTAGTAAGAAACAAGGATAAGTTTGCCTCATTATATAGACTAAGAAAGTTTTAATTGGCAGTCCAGGAAAAAGGAGAAACTTGAGATTTAATTAATCTGATGAAAGATATTCTAAAAAAGCATATCTACTTTAGATTGGATGCATGATTTGAAATGCCATTAATTTCCCTTGGAAAAAAAGGAGCTTATGACAAAGAAGACATGCATTTTGGTCAAGGGGCTTAAAAGTGAAAGGAGTGAAAACACTGGTTACAGTTTGAGCTATTTAAAATCAAAGCAAAAGAGTTCAAATGTTTGAGATTAATAGTGAAAATTAAGGTGAGAAATTTACACTGTGAACATTTGAAGTTGATATATACTGTAACAGACAATGAAGTCAGAGGTTAGGTGAAATCTTAGTTTTCTAGCTCTAACATCAATTTGAGATTATAAAACATGCAGTTTATTATAACCCTTGGATGAAGGGAGAATAAAATAATAGATTCCTTTGGTTAATTAATTCTTATTGTTATTACAGTATTTTCAGAAACAGGAGTAGTAGTAACAATAATAGATATCTCAAGAAAGTTTTAGATCCAATATTTCCAGGACTGGTGCAAATCCATATTTTGTGGATGGATGAGGAACCTCATTCAACTAAGTTTTACATAATTTACAAATGACATAGTTTAAATTGTAATGTACAAAATGTATTTCAGAGCAAATTGATATATCCCAAATGGATGTCCTCCCAAAGGATGTCTAACTCATTCTACTTGGAGAATTAAAATGCTAGAGCAGGAGGAGATGCCATTTTCTAGAACAATTCATAAGGAAGTGGTAGTAATAATCAGCTCAAACAGCAATATTACCAGATGCTCAGAGCATGGACGTGACATCACCAACACCCTACATCATCTTAAAAATAGTCACAAAACATCCTGGAAGCATTCACAGTCAAAAGCATGGCAACCTGACTATGTCATTGTCTGTGCCTGGAATCACAAACCTGTCCACATCACCAGAGCAGTGACAGGAACTCACAACTGCTGGACCGATCACCATTCAATTATGTCTATCATGCCAGCTCTCAAACTTTGCCTGCAGAAGAAGAACTGTCCATGGAAAATCAATAACAAAGCACTGAAGGATCCATCTTAAAGGTGAAAGCTTTAGAAAATAAATTGCAAGCCTGAACAAAGAACAGAGAAAATGTTTTAAATTGATTTGCCTTCTCTTGTCAAAGGAAAAAATAAAGTTTTTTCCATATATCTAAGATATATTTTTACTAAGATAAAAATGTTTGTTACCAGTAGTATAAATGTTATTTGAACATAAGGACTTGCAAAATCTGTGACATCTTTATGACATCTTGACACTTCACTGTTGTAGTACAGTAATTACAATGAATATTTTTCTCTTGGTTTTCCCTAATATGTATTGTTTTAGATTCAGCTTAAAATTAATAATCAAAGCAATTTTAAGAACATTACGGAAGCTTATTAGCACCATGGAGAACAAAAAACTTGTTTATATGAGATAGAACTGTATCTCGTTTATACTATTTTTTTTCCTCCGTGGCGCTGATAAGCTTCTGTAGAACATATGGTGTCTTTAAACTTATAACATTTAAATTTTAAATACAATTTTCATCATATAAAAAACGTGTTAATAAGTGAGTCTATGTAAAGGTGTTGTGGTCCATGGAAGCTTAATTTCTGTTGCCATTTTTTAAATGCTTTTCAAAAAATTGTTTTTAAATGTCATTCTCTTAGCTGAAGCATATCTTAGCAGTTTCCACAGCTGACCTCTCATCATCTGAAATCTGTATTGTGTTCTTAGGGCCATGTAGAGACAAAAAGCCTTCTAAAAACTATAAGATTTGTTTAAAGTTTTGGAAAAGTTATTCTTTATTACACAATACTTGTTCTTTATGTGTTTTTTAATGATATGTAAGTTGTATGTGTATGTGTTAATGGAAATACAAATGTATTTATATACTTAAGTATTATTTAGATTATTTTTAAATTAAAGAAATAAAATACACGTAAGAATGTAAAGGTTCATTTTAATTATGAGTGCACCATGAAAGTCAAATTAAAACCTATGTATAGATACAAACTCATTGTACATTTTATTTCTCTGTGCTATGTCACAGCTTCTTAATTTATCAGGTTTTGCTTAGAATGGTGAAATTTATACTGTAAGTATGTACAAGGTTATAATTTTACTGTAATTTGAATTACTGAACATCAGTCTTAGAGCCAACAATAAATTAATCATCTTTACTCAATGTGTGTTTTCACAGTTCCCCCGAAGATATATGAGATTTCCTCTGATGTTATTGTAAATGAGGGCAGCAATGTCACACTTTATTGCCTGGCCAACGGGAAACCAGAGCCCACAATTTCCTGGAGACACATAACCCCATTAGGTGAGTATGAAACAAGCACAATATCATAGACACACAATATCTTTTAATTGGGACAAGTCATCTCCCAAACACATAACGTGTAAAATCCTGTCTCATAACAGTCTCAGAAACTTTTTCCTTCTGGGAATGTAGAAGGTATACCAATAAAAAGAGTCTCACAAAACTATATATATATATAGTTCAGGTGGGAAGCTGTGTTAGCATGCATAGTCTGCAAAGGAACAAGTAATAGGTTTATTCTATGCTAAAGAGAAGAGAGAAAGCACAACGTTTAGGCGGTGAAGCCTTCTTCAGGTGTGAGATATACAGATGCAGCCATTCAAAGTGCGCGGTACAGACACGTAACGGAGGTAATTGGCTACGGCGTCGCGCATTGTGACGCACTATGACGCGCGGTACTGCGGTACGTGATTGGTTGACCGACAGGGGCCGACAGGGTCCGTTGGTCTGTCGTAGAAAGATTTACAGTAAACGTCTTTAGTGTGCCCGTTGTAGTAGTTGTAGTATTGAATATTTATATGGAATTTTACCACCGAAGGGAAATCTTTGTACCTGAGCATAAAAAGAATAGGAGCATACTGCAACGCGTGTGAAGGCCACTTTATTTTACATATCACCTTTAAAAGTGGCGTCTCAAAACAATACAGTAGATGTAAACCACAGATTACAAAGTAAATACACAGACAAACGCAAACGCATTTTTAATAAGATGCTTTTATTCGTTCATAAT